AATAATTAATAAATGTAAACTTGTAACGCACAAATATACATATTTCTTTTTGAAAAAAAAAATGCCTCGTCAACTTATTGCTGATTGTCTTAGTTATATATATTTGAATATTTAGAAGATAAAAATACCTTATATTCATGTTTATTAGTTAATCGTCAATTCAGTGAAATTTCCGTCAGAATTTTGTGGAGAGATATTTGGAATTATCAAGTTTATTATCTAGAAGAATATAATTTTAAATCATATATATGTATCATTATCAATTATTAGAATATTGGTACGGTACTTACTTTTTTTCCTGAGGAATCAAAGGATTTTTTACAAAAAGAAAACTTTTTCATTATCAATCTAACTCAAACTCGAAAATCTCCAATGTTTAATTACCCGTCATTTATTAGAGTGATTACAATCCATGGATTTTGCTATCGAATGATTTAAAGATTTCCTTCTGATTTAAGAGGTTTAGGATATAATGAAAACTTATTATTACAAGAATTATTAAAAAATGTTTATGAATCAATTTTCATAATTGAAAACTTTGTATTATTATTCAGGACAATACATTGAAAATATTTTGAATTTATTTATCCACCTGGAGCGAAAATCTGTTTAGCAAATCTCACAGAATTCCGGTGTCTTTCAGATACTTGTTCAGAATTTTTTATCAATCATTAAACATAAAATTTACTTATACTACTTCAGATGGATTAAAAGAATTAATTTCTTCACAAAATAATCTAAAAAGTATACTTTTTGAATCTTCATTGTTACAAAAATCGGTGATATTGTAAAAGCTATATTCCCCTCATTAATTAAATTTTCTTTATCATTAACCGAATTAATGTTGTATACCTTTATCATTTATAACTAAGTTTAAAAATTTACAAGTACTTAAATTTTTTTAAAAGCCGATTCATTTTATGACTTTGATCAGTTACAATACATTCATTTTTCAAAATTGAAAATTTTGAAATTTTAGATTCATTCCCAAAAGTAGAAATTTTTATTAGATTTTTAGAAATTAATGGAAAAAATTTAATAGAATTAAATATACCTAAAAATCCCGATAATTCATTAAATTCGGTAATAGCTAAATTTTGTCCAAACTTATCCATAATCTTTGAAGTGGATGAATTTGAAACTTTTAAAATTAATCCTAAATAATTGTCAAGATTTAGAAATATTCAGATTTGAATATATTATTGGATATTTTAATATTAAAACCTTCTTTAATGTTTTGACAAAAATATGCAATAAAAAATTTTTATGAATTGGGGTTGTCTTTGAAAGTTTCTTTTTAACATTTGAAAAGATTTGTGAAGAATTAGAATAATTTTTTACAAATTGGAAAGATCGTATACCAAAAAAATCACTTTCAACAGTTATTAGTACATGAAAATAATGATTGAAAAATATAAGAAAATGGGTATTATTAGGGAATTTAAAACTACAAAGTATATAGAAACTTAATATAGTTGATTTCTTTTTATATTGCAAATAACAAAAAAAATTAAAATTTCCTCATTGAGAATTCTAAATATTCTTAAACCTTTTAATAATAATAATTATTATATTTTTTTATTTTTTATAAAAACGAGAGTTACAAGTTACAACATCATACTTTGAAATTTAATTTAAAAGTGAAAATAGTTTTTTTTTCTGCTAGTTATATTTCTTCAATAATTAAAAGTGAATTTTAATATTTCTTTTAAAATGATTTATAACTCCTTCGATTTTCACGTTATGTTCTACACGACTTTGAATAAACATTTTTACGTGATATTCAATACAAAATAGCACAAAAAAATCTAAAAATATGTAAAATAAAATAATGCTTGCTCTTGGCCAGATGTATGGTAAATTAACCTACAACTGTTTCTCCTGAACACCACGTAGAGGTGGCAAGCTTCGTTCAGGGAAAAAAAAGAAACCACTTACCTGTAATTTTATACAACCAGTTTATAATTAATATGATTAAAAAAAATAATAATATTTAGGTTGTTAAGAACAAAAATTTGAGCAGAGACGTTCGGACATATAGATATATAATATAACAACATTCACAACTTGACCAATTCTATATGTAAACTGTGTTTTTTTAGTTATGTTCTGGCCCCAGATACTACTACTTATGCGCAAGAACATCAAAACAACAAGAAAGACAAGAAAGAAAATTATAAAGACGTAAAAATCAAAACAAATAAAAAAAATGCACAAGCGCATCAGAACAAGAAAGAAATTATTTTTGTAAAATCAAAAATAAGCTTTCTCATCCCCCCATCTAATTATTTGGTTTACATATATACACAATACGTACTATGTACATACATACATAAAATACGTACGTATATATACGTAATGTGGGAAAGTCGATCGAGCAATAAACACAGGTTTCTCTACTCAAATTTCATTAAAAATTTGTTTAAGTATGGTTTTAACTTTTAACGGGTTTTTTCAACTTTTTCAACGTGGCGTCGGTCGGTTTTAAAATGTGATACGGAGTTGGTTGTACCTTACCTCTTACCATACTTAACAAAAAAAAATTAAAAGAAAAAGAAACCGAGAAAGAGAAAAGAAAGAGGGTTAAAGTGAATAAAGAGAAAATAGCTATTTTATGTATTTTAATCATGTATTACTTAAATCATGATGAATCATGATGATAATGAGTAACGTCATTATATACATGACGACCATGACGTCATATTTTATCAAAACCAATTTGATTCTGTGTAACTTAAATTATTTTCAAAAATTATCACGTTATTAAGAATATACTTAATTAAGATGACGTTACATTTTTTATTATGTAAGCGAAAGAAAATTATAAACAATAACAGTAATTTCCGGTAGCAAAATTTTTTTTTATAAAAACATCATACAGATTGCAAAATCATCTACGTGATACTATACAGGACTAGATAGACTCCTCCTACAAAGTTTAAAACATCGATCTTCTGTATTACCGATAATGTACCGAATACCGATGATGTAAATTGTTTGGTTCCTGCACAATGTAAACAAAGCCTTCTCTAACAACAATAACGACAAAAATCGCAATTTAAATTAATAACAGGATTAAGTTGGTCAAATATTAGCTGACATCTTTGATTTTATGGCAAACCCTGAGCAACATTGTGATGAATTATCCATTTTATTGAAAGACTCTGTGGAACGGAGCCCGTTTTTTAAATGGACTTCCACTCGTAACATTTCTATCACTACCGATCGGTTAATTTAATCTGTCATACCTGATCCCAACAGGCTTAAAATACAGTATATACTATCTTTGCATCATAGTTGCGTCGTCAAATCCTCATGTCTTCCTAATTAACCTCACTAATGATATATATCAAAATATTTGGAAACTACATTGTGAATTATTCAAACAATGGAATCTTTACTCTACATCTCCAAGCGCTGCTTCAGACAACGCCAAAATGCACATCAAAACGCGTTTCAGCACCAAATTTACGCTGAAATATTAACACTTTTCAATATTACTCTCCATCCGATCCTCCATCTAATCCACTTTAATTACAATTCTGGATTCAGTGGTCGCCAAATAATTTTTTACATAATAGCTCTTGGTTACGTTTTTTGAACTCTTCTTTCAATTATTTTTCTGCCTCCCGTAATTTTTTGGTCACCATCTGTAAATAAATTTACAATAGAGACTGTTGTGTCATTTCGATTTTCATTTTCGAAGGGTGGGATTGTCAATATGGTGAACGGTGGTCTAAAAGAATGTAGTCTTGCTTATGTCCGTCGTTAGTGTAGTTATTTTTAGACTTATTTTCTTTGACTACTCTTCCTGTATAACAAACAAACAAACAAATAAATAAAATAAGTTGGTGTGTTGTCACGTTCCTTCTAATATTCAACCTAACGCGGATCAAAAGCGAAAATCTTAAAATATTTACTGCGTAAAATAAGAAAATAAGAATTTTTAACTACATTACGTTACTGTAAAATTTTCAAGAAAAATAAATGCACAGTATGCAGTTCATAATCAGGAACTTTTTTTATTGTATAATCAGTTCTGTTTCAAATAATACCCTAAATGTCCTGATTTAAAGATTCTTTTATGCACATCCGGAACGTGTAATCTTCTTAGTGGCATCACACTTTTCAAAAAAGAAAAATCATGCTCTTATGGGATTATTGGGATATCGGTCTACCGGATATTACTGTGGGGTTCGGCATGATGACCATTTTAAGTACTATATATAGTAAATTTTTGACCATTTCTAGTAAATTTAGGCGCATAAATATTCAATTAGTGCGACCCCCTGATTATGTAATCAAATTGAAGGCTGACTTAAAAGTTTTAATCACAGAATCTGGAACGATAAACAATAAGAACAATATCAGTAATTATATCATTGAAATTGTTTGGAGGCACAAAAGGACCCGACTCCAAATTTTCATAAAAATTTGTCAAAATGTTCCAGAAACTTTTAAGGATAAATATTTTTCAAGAAAAGAAATGGAAAATTTGCTTGAGTTGAAAGATATAATTAACTACTTATAATTAATTAATACTGTTTCTTTTTTTTTTTTATTGTTTTCATTCGTAATATTTGAAAATTATTAAATTCATTTTATTTATTATAAAAAATTTTAATCAAACCAAGATTTTAAAACTTTAAAACAATTATTACCTGTTACATTTTCAGATTTCCGATCGGCAGTTTTACAATAATCACAGTAAAAAATTTACAAACAAAAATTTGTTAATTAGTTTGTCCCAAAAGATACACATTATATTTCAAAATATCGATATTGGCATGTTTGTTAACAAGAAAAATCAAAAATAAATTAAGTAAGCTTTAAAATGTATTTTTTTTTTAGCACTGCGTCAGTTCATCAAAATTGCTGCGCCTCAAAATTTAGGTAAATTTATCCTGTTAAGTAATGATCTGCAAATCGTGACCTTATTACGCCCAATTATTAATTAACACGAATTGTACGACGGAATAACAACTCTGAAAATTATCGATCGTACACAAATACTTTTTTCTCTTCGCTTACAATGTCTTGTTCAAAAATATTTTCAGGAGATTTACCTGAGATAACATATTATATTATAAAAAATTTTCAAAATGATTTTTCAACTTTATATTCATGTATTCTAGTTAACAGATTATGGTGTCGTTTAGCAATTCCATTATTATGGGAAAATCCTTTTTCAATTACTAATAGACGGGTCAATAATATTGGAGACCATAAATTTATTGAAATATACTTATATAATTTAAATAGTGATTTAAAATCGAAATTAAATGAATATAAAATTAATGATAATTTATTACCTTCAAACACACTTTTCAATTATCCTAATTTTATAAAATATTTGAATACATCGAATATTATTCAATCTATTAAAAAGTGGACTGCTGTAAAAGTTATTAAAGATTTAGATTCAGAATCTGAATTTAGAAGATTAATTCAAACATCCCTATTTAAAGTGTTTATTGAAAATGAAGTAAAATTACATACCCTTGAAATTGAAGTCTTCTCTAGTTCAAATTATAATTCCTATAATTATGATATATTGGAATTAATTTTACAAAATACAAATTTCATTCATAATATTATAAATTTAAAACCTTATATTTTTTCTGAAGAAGATAAACTAATGGAGAAATCTTGTATTACAAATAATTTATTTACATCAAAATCTTAAAAAGTTAACATTGGGTTGTGATGATTTTTCCTTATATCAATCATTATTATTATCTAAAGATTATAATTGTTCAAATACTTTAAATACTATCATATTATACCACATTAGAAGTATAAACAATTTAAATAAAATATTTGAACAATTAAATGTTATGGAATCCATTCATATCATTTATTGTCGATTTTTAAACAGTAGTTTTATTCAACAAATTATTAATTTGTCTAAACCTTTTAAATTAAAATCTTTATTTACATGTGGGGATTTAAAAAGTGAACTATTAATATTATTATTGCAAAAATCTGGTGATTATTTAGAGAATTTTAGGGATGACCTTAGTTGTTGTGATCAAAAATTATCAGAATTAATTATAAAATATTGTAAAAATCTCAAATTTCTTGATATTTTTACCACCACAAATCAGATTATTTACCAAATATTCAATTTGATTGAGAATATTAATTATCTTACTATTAATTGTGGAAAATATATTGGCAGCTCAATTTTATTACAAAATTTAGGACAAAACCTTCCTTCTAGATTAGAATATTTAAATTTAATTCTTCACATTAAAGCAAGTGATTTTGAAATATTCCTAAAAAATTCCCAAGATACTTTTATTAAGAAATTGTTAATTTCAAATTCAATGCTAAATGGTGATGATATTTTACCTTATATAAAAGAATATATTATGAAGGAGAAAAGGGTCAGGTATTTGACTTTTGAGGATATTGCAAATAATGAATTAATTAATTTAGATGATGAAGTGGAGGAATTTAAGTTACATAATATTATAGTCCAGAATTATAGTTATCTGTGTATCAACGAATATCAATTTATACAGGAACTTTATTAATTATTATAATTACGATTAAAAATGAGATTTAGAGGGTTATAAATCTACACATAATATAAAATTTACATTTTAAAGAACTATGACAGTTATTACATTATTTTTGTTCAATACGAAACAGTTGTTTGTTTCTTTTAATATGATACCTAAATTCACTTATAAATAATCATTTATATTCTTACTCTTCCATAGAAATTCATACTTGAATCTCAAAGAGTTAATAATAATGTGGCTAAATTACGTTACAAATCATCATAAATTCAGTGTCCTAATCATGTGAATTACGTGCGAGTTCCATGCAAATTCCATTTCCAAATTGTGCATTTTCCGTGCCCCTTCAACGGATTATTATGATACGCTATTTCTAAGGAAAAAAAATCGTATAAAAACATTATTAAAAACATATCGTTTTTTTACAGGGCTGAAGGACGATTTGGATTGGATTAATGTTTTTTTATTTTTATTTCTTTATTTCTCAAAGTACCGTATCTGTCTCTTATACACATCTAGATGTGTATAAGAGACAGGCTGAAGGACGATTTGGATTGGATTAATGTTTTTTTATTTTTATTTCTTTATTTCTCAAAGTACCGTATACATCCGAAATTAAGCACCTATTTTGACCGTAATTCTGGCCAGAAGATTATGAAGTATTCCAAGTAATTAAAAAATAAAAAAAAAATCAGTATTTATGCTTTTTGTTAATTAATTAATTAAACTTTTTACAAATAAAGTTTTAACTATGTTGAAGAAAACTAATTAAATATAAAATTGAGATACTTTTTTTTATTTTTTTTTATTTTTTTATTTTTTCATAATGTATAATTCAAGGTAGCTTATTTCAAAACTAAAATTATACCAAAATTTAAAAACTGATAAAAGTTATCCAGAGACGAAAAAAAGTGGACAATATGATTTATAACTTATATATATAAAGCCTAAATTCAGTTGCTTATTTTAGGCTTTATTATGAAAATTGCATGAAAATTTTAAACATTCAAATTTATAGAGTATCATGTGATTGCAATTAAGATTAACTAGTTTACATTCTTTTTAGGAAAGGTTAGTTATTTTATCCGTTTTTTCAAAGCTTTATAAGGAATCTGAAAAATAATTTTTTTAAAAAAATTGATGAATATTAAAATCGTACAGACATACAGTTTCAGAAGGCAACAAGATCCTAAAAATTATTATAGGCGAAAATTTTCATCATATATTTCATTTATTTGTAAAGAGCAAAAGATACATAATAAAGTGGGCATTTGATTTATTACATTTTGTAAAAAACAATTATTATACGTAATTTAGTAAATTTTCTTTCGCTATGTTCCAATTTTTATGTAACATAGGATATAAATTACATGTCAAAATTACTTTATCACAAAATATTAAATGTATAAAAATTCATGAATTACTTTATTATAAAATAATAAATTTATAAGCAATTATATTTAATACTACACTATTCCTATCTGATATTTTAAAATTACCACTCTAGTACTAAATAATTAATAATTCCGAGTAAATTCAGGAAAACTTACCATTAAGCTTTTATGACTTTGCACTTTAATATCATACAACTTAAATTCCTCCACTTCATCTTTCAATGAAACCAATTCCTTATAGTCATAGTTTCCATAATCTGATGTACTTTCAAAGGAATCTATAATAGCCAAATATTTTACTCTTTTCTTTTTCATAATATATTTTTTTATACAAGATAAAATATCTTGACCTTCTAAATTTTTGATCAACAATTTCTTAATAAAAGTATCTTGAGAATTTTTCAAGAATACTTCAAAATCACTCAATTTAATGTGAAGACACAAATCTAAATATTCTAATTTAAAAGGAAGAATTTGTCCTAAATTTTGTAATACAATTGAATTATATTCAATATAATTTTTCCAATCTGTTATCTTAATTGTAAGATAATTAAGACTTTGTTTCAAATTTTCAATCAGATTGAATAATAAATAAATAATCCGATTTTCAAATTTTTCAAATTTACTTAAATTAAGTAATTTAATATTTTTACAATATTTTATAATTGATTCAAATAATTGTTCATTTTGAATTACAAATTCACTCCCAAAATTCTCTAAATATCCACCACATTTTTGTAATAATAATTGAAATGATGATTCATCAATTATCTCACTTATAATTAAAGATTTTAATTTAAATGGTCTATTTAAATTAGTAATTTGTTGAATAAAGCTAGTATTTAAGGGATGACAATAAATGAGATGAACAGATTCTAAAACTTTTAATTGATCAAATATTTTATCTAAATTGATTATACGTTTAAACTTAACTCCATATAATGTGATAGTATTTAAAGTGTTTGAACAATTATAATCTTTTGTTAATAATAATGACTGATATAAAAAAAAGTCATTAGCCTTTAAAGAAATTACTTTAAGATTTTGATGTAAATTAATTAATTTTAATATATTATTTTTAATTATCATATTTTTATTAGGACCACTAGAAAAACTATTACAAATATAAAGGTTTAAATTTTTAACATTGTGAATAAAATTTGGATTTTGTAAAATTAATAATAAAATATCATTCAAATAATAATCCAAATTATAAAAGATCTCAATTTCAAAAGTATTTAAATTTGTCTCATTATTAATAAATAGTTTAAATAATGACATTTGAATTAATCTTTCAAAATCATCATTCTCAATTAAACATCTTTTTTCAGGTTTTAAAGTTTTAATAATATTTTTATACCACTCATGAGTAGAAAATTTAATCTCAAATGTATTCAAATATTTTATAAAACTAGGATAATTGAAAAGTGTATTTGAAGGAAATAAATTATCCTCAATTCCATATTCATTTAATTTTGTATTTAAATCTTCATTTAAATTATGTAAATAAATTTCAATAAAGTTATATTTTTTTGTTTCTGAACTACAAAAAAAATATTTCACATTCGGAGGATTTGAAAATGGATTTTCCCATAATAATGGAATTGTTAAACGACACCATAATCTGTTAACTAAAATACATGAATATAAAGTTGAAAAATCATTTTTAAAATACTTTAAAATATCATATGTTAATTCTGGTAATTCTCCCGAGAATATTTTTGAACAAGACATAGTGGAGAGCAAAAGAAAAAGTATTTGTAAAACTATTGTGTCAGCCGCCGGATAAATTTAATTAATTTTTAGAACGGCAAATACATAAAAAGGTAACAATCATGAAAAAAATGTGTAGTGCTGATCTCTTGTTACCTATTTATATATTTTCCCGATAATAGTCGTACAAGTCGTACAATTCATGTCAATTAATAGTAACAATTGTGACGTAAAAAAATGCTGATCCGCATGTGATCGATAGAATTTCTATAAGTATATAGCTATGCCGTTCAATCCGTTCATCAATTTAAATAATAATTGTTTGTTGTCAGAGCAAGATTTTTTTTTTAAAAAAAAAGGTTCTCTTTGTATACTGATATGAAAATTTTTTACAATCAATTTGTTATTTAATTATTATAGTATTTATTGAGTTCATCTAATAATTCAGTAAGAAGATCAATATCTTGTCGTAACATTCTATGATTTATACTAATTTATTTATTTTATATATTTGGTTCAAATATTATGTCACACTTTATTGAAATTTATTTACATAATTTAAATGATTATGATATGGAATTAGTTATGATTATTTCCTTCAATACATTATTTAATTTTCCTAGTTTTATTAAATGTGTTTAGATACCCATCACCCCTACTGACCGATAATAATATCCAACAACAGATAACTATAGTTTGTTAAATTTAATATATGAATATATACGAAATTTCATCCAAAAGATAGGCTGGCTTTTAGACGCAGTAAAATTACTCGATAAGATTACTTGATTTCAAATCTGCAAAATAAATAGCAACTGAGGCAGAAAAATAAAACAACATTACTGATTCACATTTCACTACACTCTGCCTCATATTTTTTTATCTCCCTCGATGCTTTTACTGATTACTATCAGTGCATCACGTATTTCACGCATCACGGGATCAGTTCTCGGTATCTGTGATCTGATAAAAGTCACACTTTATTAAAGAGTCACAAATCCACAAGAAATTTTGTTAACTACCACCTAAAACTTAAAAGAAAAAAAAATGAAATTTAGTCTTGAAAGAAATGAAAAAGAAACAAGAATTACTAAGATATCAACCTCAATTTTCAAAGAAAATCAGTGGAATCTAAAAAAAAAAAAAGAAGAGCTGCTGAAACCTAAAAAGAAAGAAAAAATATGAAGGGTTTATTTTTTTAAAATTAGTTTAATATACCATTCAAAAGGACTTTTATTTGGAAATTATAGCGATGCAAGTTATTTTACATGTGCTTGATGGTCATCAAAGTCTGGTAACTTTATGTTTTCAATATATTCCTTTCAATTTTTCTTAACAATTATCAAATTTCAGTCTTTTTTTAAGCGAAATTGTCACGTGTTAAATTATAACAATATCTTTGCAAGAAAAACTTTTAAAAGTCGTTGAATAAACCTAAAGTAATTCAAGATTATCAGCAGAAATTGTGACATCAATAAGACTATTTAACCAATAATAATTAACAATATAAAAATAATTTTTTTTTATTAATAAAATGGAAATAGATTACTTTAAAAATATAATTCTATTTTCTTTCTTTGCTCTTTTTATAGATAATGCATTTTTAAAATAATTTGAAGATAAAAGATAATGTTTACAATTTTTTTTAGAATCGACACTGCGGATTCGGTCGTTCGTGATCACGTGATGATTGACAATTTTTAGAAGATTGCTGAATGTAATAATATCCTTTCCTTTACCTAATCAAATAGTATAAGGTATGATTCATATTTGTGAATTTGTAAATTAAAAGAAAAAAAAAGCGAAAAAAGAAATTTCGTATATACGACAGAAAAATAAACTAATCCTAACTCAAAAAATGAAATGATATGAAATGAAATTTACTGATGAAAATAAAAAATAATATAAATGAATAAATATAAGTAACCAATTCTATCTATTGTTATATAATTCAATTTCAGCAAGATTTATATGGTTAAATGATTTATTTCAAGCAAGAAAAGGAAAATCGAAATAAAAATGGTTGATATATAGTATGTTAAATTCGTTAAGATGAATTTTAAGTTAATAAAATTATTATGCATTATCATGTCTTTTGATCATAAAAATAAATAAAATTATTAATTAAATTGCAAAAAAAATTACGTCTTTTCTGACTTAAAGTAAAAAAAGTAAAAATTACCATAATTAATATATATTTAACATTTATAATTTTTTTAATCGTGTAAGATTTTATTTATTTAAAAATCAAGCTGCAAGATATTACAGGCCAGTTTTAAGCCAAGTACGGTCCGACCAAAAATTTAATAATAATTATATAGGCCAAAAACGGATGTTGTGAAACTTTTTTTTTATTTCTAATTAGAAATGTAACTTGTCATTTTTTTACTTTCTATTTTTGTAGATTTCGGTTTCAAGTATAGAAAACAGAAATGTATGCATCAAGTATTGCAAAACTTTTTTTTTAATATATTAATTAGGAACGTTTATTAACGTTTCTTGTTGTTTTTTAGATTTTCAGGTTCGAAACACTGAAACACCATAACAGCAAGTTTTACAACACCTGTTGTGAAACTTAATTCTTATTTATATTTGTTTTCATTTTTTTTTAAAAAAAAGAAAACGATTACTAAATTTCCCGTTTCTCTTTACGAACTTTTATTTATTTATTTTATTATTAATATCATTCTTTAATTTTTCTCTAAAGTGTGAATTATCAAACACTTTATACGCCTATTTGTGACTTCCTGATGTTTATTTAAATAGAATCCATTGATTATTTATTAAAGCTATTTCTTGATAGGTGTATAATAAACATATATTCAATACATATAATACAATATACTGCAGTACACCTCAGATTTTTCGATTGATAAAATCGTTGCACTGTACAATAAATAAAAAATATCATGATAATCTCTGTAATAAATAAATGTATATTTTATTTAAAATATAAAAAGCAAATTTACAAGCGACTTTATATGAAAGTTTATTCCCATCTGATATTTTTAAATTGCTATATAACTGTAATTAATCAATTGCCCTCATAAACTTAGACACGCCAATCACTGAACTATAGAAATCTACAAATTCAATATTGTACAACCTAAAACTCTCCTTCTTTCAATAAAAACAATTCCTTACTACCAGTAGCCGTTTCACAATAAGATTCATTAATAGCCAAATACTTCACTCTTTTCTTTTTCATTATATATTTTTCTATGGAGGGTATCCATCCCTATAAAAAAAACTCTGGAAAAAACTCTGATAAATGTTCATTTTTCTAGTTTTCATTCCGAAGAAACTCAGACACGTGATCATTTTTCTAAAAAATTTTTTATAGGGCCTAATTTATGTAATAATGGATTAATAATTTCTTAATAAAAGTATTTTGAGAATTCTTTAGAAACAACTTTAAAATCCCTTCTCTTAATGAAATAAAGTTATAAACATGAATATTCTAATTTAGGAGGAACTAATTTTTTAATACTATTGAGCTACATTTAGTATCATGCTGTAAATGAATTGAAAGATAACTGAGATTTTGTTTAATATTTTCAATTAAATATAATATTTGATAAATAATCTGCCATAAAATTTAAGTAATTTGATTTTTTTTACAATATTTTATAATTAATTCAAATAATTATTGATTATTGGCAGAATATTTGTGGTGGTTCATAACTACTAGAATCAATCCCAAAATTTTTTAAATAATTACAAAATTTTTTGTAATAATAAATCTAATGATTCAATTTGTGAATATTTCACTTATAAATAATGATTTCAATTTGAAATGGTTTAGTTAAATTAATAATTTGTTGAGAAAAATTATTATTTAAGGAAGAACAATGAATGATATGAATAGATTCTAAAACATTTAATTGTTCAATTGCTTCATCCAGATTGTAAAAATCAACGTAATAAAAAATGATTGTATTTAAAGTATTTGAACAATTATATATATTTGATGATAATAATGATTTAAATAAAGATAAAAAACCTTTATTTATTAAAATTTTCTTGAGATTTTGATGTGATTGAATTACTTGTAATATGCGATTTTCAATTATCGTACATTCAACGCCAATGACAAATTATGTGTATTAAAATATTTTAAAAACTTAGGACAATTGAACAGTGTATTCAAATATAATGAATTAGTAATAATTTTATATAATCATTTGCGTAAGTATCAATAACATGATAAATTTTTTTTAGTTGAAAATGGATTTTCCCATAATAATGGAATCGCTAGGTGACACCATAATCTGTTAACTAAAATGCATGAATGTAAAGTTGAATTGAAAATATTCTATAATTTTTTATATTAGCTCGGGTAAATCTCCTGAAAATATTTTTGAACACGACATATTGTAATTGAAAGTGAAAGGGGAGGGAAGGGGAAGTATTAAATTGTTATTATTACGCTGATCTGAGTAAATTTATATTCATTTTTGGAGTGAGGCGCAGTTTTAATAAAACCATGGAAATTGTGGCTATACTAATTTCGCCCCGGGGGCTAAAAACTCTTTCCGCCGATCATCATATCCACAAATTTTAGGACGAATGAAAAGTGGAAGAGTGCAACAAGGCTTATGTAAAATTTATTTTAGAACCAGACAAATTCGTTTCGTGGCGATGCAACAAAATACAGCACATGGCTTGCCATAGGCGGCATGATCAAAAAGGAAATAAAAACTTTTTCGAGGAACCAATAATATTTTATTTTATTTTAAAAATTTAGACAATGACGGAAGCCATACAAGTAGGAACCAATAATATGGAAGATTGGTGCACTATCGGTTAGGCGACTTAGGCGTCACCATTTTTCGCATCATTTAAAAATCAATCATGAACATGATTGCAATCTTGCACTGGAAATTATTAATGGAGCGAGACCAAGTATTATATCAGGTACTCCCTTTGTATATAAGCAGTTAATGACACAATGTTTGGAGGCTGATTCAAAGAGACCTGCTGATATAGGTTGTCTTTATAATAAAATATTTGAAATAAGA